CCTCTCCGCCTTTGCGGTGGCATTAATGGCTCGCTTGACGAACAGCCACATGTCCGTTGAAGCCTGAGGAGCAAAGGAGAATGTTAGATAAAGCTGTAAACAAACGGTACGATAAACTGAGAATGGTTAGCGCTTACCGAAGCTTGAAGACAGAAGGCACGGCCAGCCTCCTCCTGAATGACCTTCTTCGGCAGGTCCTCGATCTCAGAAAGCTCCATTTGTGAACTGAGGATCATGTGGTTCACAAATTGTATCATTTTCGACGGACAAGCCAGAGTGATGGGTTTGGCAGGAGCCTCATCGTTTTCAGCAGCGAAGAAGGCCCGAGCAGGCTAGGTCTGCCGACCGCGCTTCGGGGCTGGATCGGCATCTAGATCAACTGTGAATGGCCTTTTACCGGCTACTTTGGAGGAGGTGCCCTCAGTAAGCACACCTCGGCTAGGAGACGGACCAGCAGCTGTCGCTTCGGCCTGCGCTGATTCAGCGTTGAGCTGACAACGACGCTCGTTCAGGGTTAGGTCTTCGGGGTCGACTCCTCCCGATGACGCTGGTACTGTTTCCGGCTGCCGGCTCTTCTTTTTCCCTTGGAGCCCAAGCATGAGGCGCCGCTTAGAGGACTCGTTCATCCTCTTCACCTCGGCAGCTCTCCTCTCTTCCGTCACTGCAAAACCAGGATCGATAAGAATTCTCATTATGGCAAGAAACTGAGTTATAGTGGACAAGTACACTTACTCTTGGCAGGACTGACAAGTTGAGCCTTGATGAGATTGGGAGTGAATAGGAATTTGGGGTAGACTCTCTCTACGGCAGGGACCTTCAGCCTTACCATGTCGATCTGACGGATCTCCGATTGGGTGGCGCTCAGCTGCTTCAATTTGCCTACAAAAAAAAAAAGAAACGAAACGGAATTAAAATACTGAAAGACGCTACAAGCAAGAGGACCTACTGAACGGTATGATGGCCTATCAACTACTTGGAAGGTAGTAGGAATGTGGAAATGGACGGGATGTCCCGATGGTGACTCCCAATCATTGGACAGAAGCACCCGCCGTTCCTCCACGTCTTCTGGGAGGTTGGCACGGCACTGACAAAATGGCCGCGTTCGGTAGCCTTCAGCCAGTTAACCTGAACCCAACCCCGTGGTCGGCGGACTTAGAATTTGTGACACTGTACAGATGGGAGAACTGTTGTACGAAGGCGCTCCCTCGCCAGCCATGCTGAAGGCCGTGACTACTCCCATCAACGCTACCCAGAAGTTGGGGTTGAACTGGCCTGGAGCATAGCCTATCTTCGCCAAAATTCTCTGAACGGCAGGCTGGAGCGGAATCCTCACTTCTTGCAGGAGTACGTCCGTGAAAGAGACAACTTCGCCATCTTTCGGGTTGCTTAGAGATTCGGTTGCCGTTGGGATCCTCATCCTTAACGAATCTGGTATTAAGTACTCAGCGCAATATTTCGCGATCTCCCGTTCTGTAATCCTGTTGGGCTCCAGGTAATCTACGCCGAATACGAGCTCCTTCGGGACTCCCATCGGCACCCTAGGATTGCTGGGGAAGACTACCGATACCCTCGGCCGAGAAAATGGTTCGGCGGCTGACTCTCCACGACCGGAAGTGGAGGCCTCTGACTGACGACCAGGGCTCGTCTCCCTAGGCGCGGCTATACGAACTTGACGACCGTCGCTATAGACAATAGACAACGGTACTGGTGCAGTCATTAGCCCCTTCCTAATGCCATGTGAAGGGACGGAGCTGGGGCCTTCACCGAGTATCTCGATATCGGTATCACTTTCGTCCCCGGCATCGGGACCTACCGCTCCACTGTCGGAGTCAAAGAGACCGTCCGATGACTCCTCATCGAACGCATTAGGCTCACGCTCGGAAAACGACTCGCTATCAGACATCTACAAAAGCAGGGAAAAAGAAAACTAAGGCTCATGCCGGATACTAACCTACCGATTCCTACATCGCTACCTATGGCGACTAGACTACCGAATGGATCCCTATGGTCAGTCTAGTTCAAACCAAGGAAGAACGTAACTATTTAAGTTTAATAGGAAAGTAAATCAAGGGTGTCGAATGGTACCTTATGTCAAGCTCTGGATAAGGACCACGAACTATGCTTCCGATTGCCTTGACGGAATTCGCCTTTCTTGCCGTTCGCAACGCCGGAAATCTCCTGGTTTAACGTTAGCCCTCGTCGGAAATCGCTTCTAATGCCGGAAGCTCTCGTCAGAAATCTCAATAGAGATCTCACTTCTCACAAAACGCAAAGTGATTTTGTCTCTGGAGTCACCCCTATTTATAGGGAGAGAGGACGCAATGGTACACCTCGAAAAACCAAACGACGCATTAATGCGCCGCGCTTCATGATTACCCTCGCCACGTGTCGCTCATCCTATAGGGGACTGACGGCACGCGAGGCACAGAAGTCGAAGCGCCCAGATGTCTCTTCACACGTCAACTCGACACGACCTTCTGACTTCCCCGACGTCAGCCTCTGAATGAACAAAGACGGAAAAGCCAAAGTTGAGCCCCTCCACTAGCTGGGCTACCGAACGATAGGACAACATTTCCTGCCGAAGACAATTTCATGTCCCCTTCCGAGAACTCTCAAAAGAGAACTTGGGGGACTCCTGTTTATACCCAAATGAACAGTCGATAAGCATCGGACACGTGGACTAATTTTATAGCTATGGAAGCCTTCGGCATCTGGCTACAGTTCGTTCCTACCAATTGCACGATTAGGGCAACTCCACTGCAAGGGGCACGAGGCAGTCCCACAATTGGAGTCCATAGTCACACATCGAAATTCTAAACAATTTGCACACCTCCCAAGGATTATAAAAGAGGACAACCATCCCAACTAGGAGGTAATCAATCAGAACTTACGGCATACTGCCTATTGATCTGTAGTTCAATCTTACTAAACCCGTACTTATTTAAGCATCGGAGAGCCTTCGGCCGGTACAATACCGATGCCCTAGGTCTTACCGAGCGTTTGTTATCTTGCAGATCCAACGCCCTACCGAGACCCGTAGCATACCGAAGGCATAACATTACTAAGTTACGCGGGAAAGTACCGAACCATTTTTCTGCGTCAACAGTTTGGCGCCGTCTGTAGGAAATGATAAGAATCAACCTACAATTCCTAAAAAACACATGGGAACCACTTCAGGACAAACGTTTTTATCGGAGGATGGACTACCGTACGGTATGCAAAGCGGAGCAAGCCCCGCGCTGCACCCTAGCACTCCCGTCGGTAATCCTCCGGTGCTTCAGACTACGGTCGAAGCGGAGCTTCTGGCTCAGATGATTTCCCTTCGGAAGGAAATGGCCAAGCTCCAAGAACATAACAACCTCCTCTCATCTAAAGTAGACGAAACTCAGCGGCTGCTTAATCAGCAGGGAACGCAGAATATTCAGTCTACAGA